AGTCTAAAAGATAAAAATGAATTGACATTGCAAAGCCCCTTTATGTTCAGATTTTGTAGTTGTTTTTTTTAAAGGCATATCGCACACAATAGGAGAAGATATAAAAAAAAAATCAATAAAATCAAAATCAAACACATCAAATAATAAGATAACACATTTTACTACATAGTACGTTTTACGTTTAATACAACTCTTGTTTAACATATAAATAAACTAATAAACAAACACATTTAGATGGTTCTATTATAAGCTATTTTAACTCAATTTTTTGCATATTTGATATCAATAAAAGCATGAATCATTCTCCAAACTATCTTATGGATGTTAATTTACTACCTTGTGTTTTATTCACTTATTTTTCATATCTTTGAGTGTTAAAAAATTGAAAAACATCTTTGCTCTGGTCCATTGTACCGTCTAATACAGATCTTACAGCTGCAGCATGATTGCAGGACAAGCTTGTTTAAATACATTTGACTGTTTGCATGTTTGGCTGACTGACTAAAATAACAAGAGAATTACTCTAGCCATTTGTCACATTTAGTTTTTTTTCTGCTGTAATGGGAATGTAAACACACAAACAATCAAATGTAATCCCCACACAGAAGTACTGCAAGAGCATCAACATTGTTGCCTTTGTTGTCAAGTGTGACACCTAAAAACAACTCATAGCGGTTTCAGAAACAGGCAGATTGGTTTAAATTTTTAGAAGAAACACAGCCTGAGGCCTAACAAAAGGAACTCTTCAGAGGCAGTACTTCCTAGAATCCAACTACCACGAAAAGTGAGACTGGTGGAAGAAGTCAGGATTGGGAAAACAGTTGTTTTATTACATGTGCCATCTGCTGCATGCTCCTGAATAAAACAGAAGCTAATGTAGTGCAAATAAAGCAGTAGGTGCAAAAGTTGCTGAAAGAAATAGCTCTGAAAAAAATATTCATACCTTGTAAGATTTTATCTTTTCCAAACAATAAACCTTTATCTACGTTTACTTGTACTTTGTGTGCTTGACCAACACTAAACACTGCGTACCAATTTTTTTTCTATTTTTATAAAAACCTGTTATTGTATTAAGTCTCTTTAGGTGAATAGTTTGTAGAAATCCAGCAATCCCAGCTGATAATATTTAGGGGAAATCATCTGGAGACTGAAGTCTTAACCAAACATCTAAGACTTTCCTTCTTCTTTTCTATTTATGAGCTACCTTTTATTAGTCGATTGCGAAAAACCCAAATAAAATGCATCAAAGCTTGTGGTCGTGACACAACATTAACAGCTCCAGAGGTGTGGATTGTTTTGTAAGATACTGCATGTTTATGTAATGTTTAAGTACGGGTGTATGCTCTGAAAATCAGAGGATGTCAACACGCCTCTAAACGTGGATACCAGACATGGGAACCAATGTCACATATACCTGGTGTAGACTAAGCTGAAGGATAACAACTGTATCAGAGAAGATGATCGACTCTTTCCTAAGTCTGTGACCCAGACTGGATGTCAGACTCTTTTCAAGGAAATGAAAGCCCTTGCAAAATTCCCATGAAATATGCTGAAAATTTGCCACAAGCCCTTGAGCAACAATATGAATCTCTGACAAATGCATCAGCCCTGTTGTGCGGGTGACCCATCACTTTGACTTCTTTCTCCATGTGCAGAGTTACCTCACCTCTTTCCTGTAAGCGGATCAGGCTTAACTGCTATCTTTAATACAGCAGTTATTGTCTCTTTTCCCTTGCCAGCATCAAACAGTGATGAATAATGTGCGCATGCAATTAAAAAAGTATTAAAACAAGCCTTGGAGGAATGAGACTTCTCAACAAGGCTGGAAATTGCATTACATGCGCTTGTGTGTTTTAAAGTGTGCTCTGACGTGTTTGTGCAGAGGGCCTCATCAGACAGACACTACACGGCTGAAGGAGCAATCGCATCAACTCGTGTTCCCTCCAAAAAACCTGAGGGCATTTAAGAGGAACACCACCAAATGGAGGCCAAATATGTCCATGTCCACACAGCAAGTCCATGAAAATGGAACAGGACAGCCAGACAGAAAAGTAGAGAGTTAAACCAGAAGGCAAGAAGTCTGTGACAGGGTTCCTACAGCATAAGGCAAGTTAAATTCAAGCCTTTTTAAGACTTTTTAATGCCACTTGATATAAAAATTTAAGACCAAATTCACAAGAAACACACGAAAAACCCGCTTGTGACATCTTAACCCAAAGGTTTGTTTTAACATAAACCACTGCACTAATATTTCAAATTTTGAAAAACTTCCCATACAGGAAGAAAGCTAAAAACACACATATGACAGATATATTTTAACAATTATTTAACTGAATTCACAAACTTTGTTTTAGCAGGGAACAAAACAAATCAGTTTTAAAGCCACAACATAACCAGTGCCAAGTCTTTTTTGCATCTATTTTTCTTTGTATCGTTTTCTTAGTATGTTTGATTTGGTGATAAGTGGAGGCGTTGCAGAGACAAGGGTGGAACAAAACTGAGAAATACCGGCTGTTTCTCAGTAACTCGGTTTTGACGCTTTGTGTTTTGCGCTTCGCATGCGACTCCACTGCCTTAATTCCCATCGTTCCCAGCTTGAATCGCTTCTTGCACAAAATACACTGTGCTTCATGTATGTTCCCTGGTTTTAGCCATGGAGAAAACTCTTGGCTGGAGCCAATTTTCGTTACATTTACACTTGCTCATATTTTCCAGACAAAAAAGTTAATGGCGCATCACCCAAATGTCCTGGCCGCAACAACGCTTTTATTGGTTCCGCTATCGGGACGGAACCAATAATGGCGAGCCATTATTTTTTTTAAATAAAAAAAAAGTCCATTTTAATGTTTTACTTTGATTACAAAAATAAATCATAATAAAAATAATCCTATTTATGATGTTTTAAAAATTAAGACCTACAAAAGACTGATTTAAGACATTTTAATACCAATTAAGGCCATAGCTTTATTTTGAAGAATTCAATGCCTTTTAAGACTTTTTAAGGACCTGCGGGAACCGTGCTGTGATAATAACGATAATCATCTCTGTCAATATTCTTTAGAATATTCCCATTCGCTGTGTCCAACATCCACATTAATAGCTAATCTACTTGTTTGTTACAGTAAATAGTTTTAGTATTAACATACCCAACTAGCTCATAAAGTTTAAAATAAAATGCGATAACAGCGGTTTATTAATACACTCGTGCCAAAAACAAAAGTGATAAAACATGCATGAACTGATCCTAAACAAATAACATTTTTATTTTCATTTTATTGGATGAAAGTTTGTTATTGCAAACGTGATACAGCAGGTAAATTTTTAAATTTGTCCAACCTGGATTTATAGTGAGCTGTACTGGGAATACAAGGAATTTTAGAAGATTCCAAGAAGTAAAATGACTGAACACTATGAATAAGGAAAGAAACAACCCAATCCAAAAGAATGATCCAAAAGAACATTATTTAGTTGCTTTATGTCATAACTACTGATTAAACTGTGAGAACTGCATGTTCTCTTGAAATCTTGAAACTATAAAATACATAACAGTATTACAACATTATGAATCATGAATTAGAATATTCATTAAAATGTTGCTGATATTATTAACTTTGCAACAGCAACAGTTTTATCGTAAAGCAACTACCTCTGTACAAACATTCAGACCAAGAAGACATTTAATTTAATCTTAAATATGCACATTTATTCTTTATCTTTAAATTATTGAGTTTTCTAAAAGCATTTAATCACCAGATATATATATTTTGCATAAACGCACAAATTCAGGTCCTGACAGTGGTTTATTTTAGTTGCATTAGATCATGTTGATCTAGGTCTTCTGTCATTAGAGGAAGGGTATCTAACATGTTTGGGTATAAAAGCAGGAATTTATAGTTGGCTGAAGTCTATTGTCAATAAATATTAAAGGACAAACACATTAGGTGTGAGAGGTTAGATGTAAGAGCGCCTAGCTAAATGCCAGAGTTACCAAACACTAACTAAAGTAAACAAAGTTATGTTTAACCAACTTATATTGCATAAAATTATGCATCATCTTTTTACAATAAAAAACTTAAAAACATATCATGTTTTTCTCAAATTATTTTTCACAATTAATACAAATGTGAATTACTATTCTCCTGTGAGCAAAGTTGCCCCTGAACCTGCTGCAGTTACACAAGTGCAACAGGAGGAATGAGGCATAAAAAATAACATACTGTAATTTAGTAAATAGTTTTTTTAATAATCCGCACTAACCCTTCAGTCAGATGTAACACTCTAGTTGGAAGCTGCAAAAATAGCAGTTGTTGCTCATTTCTCTAGCACAAACTACAGTTAGCCTAATAGGATTCCCTCTAATTTATATCTAAATAAAAGTGTAAATCTTAGCTTGATGTTTAATTTCAGAAAGCATCAGAAATAGAAAAAAAAAAACCTGAATGAATCAGAGCCTGAGGTTGGATGGGAACCAACATCTTTCCAAGTCAGAGTTTAGACTTAAGATGGGATCAGTTTCATTTTCCTAACTTGAATTTGGGAAATTCTGACTCCTGAGTTCAAATTTAACACACCATCACCTCACAACATTATTACACATTGCATACATTATACATATTTATACATTGTACTGCATAAAATGTCTCATTTTCTTCCTTATCTTCTGTTAGCTGGGAGTTTTCCCAACAACATCCAGTCATTTGTTTTTATACTAGTCTCCCTTACATATTATCCCTGTTAAATGGCTCACTATGTAAACTGGGACGACAACATTAAAGAACAGCTGGTTCAAAGCAAAACCCCTTTCTGGAAGTTTTATTGTTTTCCACAGTCTTCCTTCTTCCGCTAATGTCCAATAAAAAAGTCCAGCACTTCACGCTAAAGGGTCACACATGTCTGTGTCAAATTCCTGTTCCTTATCCATCTAGACACAATTCCGCAGCTATTAATAAGCTTTATCCCCACTTGGAGAAACCGTGACTTTGTATGTGTGTTTTACTCACATAGTCTGGCAAGGCTGTGTTGTCTCCTTGTCTGCCTCTTAGAGACTGTGTTGCCTGCTCCAGAACCTTGTTGTGCTTTTTGGAAAGCAAAGCAAACAAGCTGATGGGAAAAACACAGAGAAAGAGAGCAGCTGATGAATGTTGCCTTAGCCAAGAAATATTTCAGTTTTTTAATGAATAAAGTGATAAAAGCTGAAACGGTAGTGGTTGATCTTTGAAAACCAGAACAATTAGGTGAGATAATTGCTTTGATTTCCAAATTTAGCTTTTTGAAATCAGCAACTATTACAGAATCTAAAATAAAAAAAACAATCAAGAATTTCTTATGGAGACCTTTTAAAACGACTAGATTCAAAAACCTACAAACTGTGGTTATAAACCATTAAATTACCCTTTCAACTTATTTCTAATGAGAAACTTTTTAGGTAGAAGAGACTGCTTCACGTTCAGCCTGGTAATTGGACAACGATGCATGTGTGTGGTGCAGACATGAAGCCAGTCTGACGCAGTGGTGAGAGCATTAAAGAAGGCCAATGCTCAGGTCACATGTTCATCCGTCAGCACAGGAAATATAGGCACACAAATCCCCACAGTCGGCCAGACAATTGCTGAATAGAGTTACTAGATCAGCTCTGTGGAGATCTCCCTGTCATCTTCAGAAGGTCCCATCAGAACCATATAAAGAACCTTTGTTCTTCAGGTTCAGTTTTGATCCATTTTTAAATAAAGGACCACCAGCCATGCTCCACTTGGATAATTACAACAAAATATGACCAGCCGCTTCATCCCCATGTCATCATAAAGTGAGGCATTGATGTAAAATATAGTTTAAATTTTACAAAATTGCAGAGGTTTAGTGAAGCAAGTTCAGCTTGTACCGGTATTTATTTTTTATGTACCTGAAGCCTGATATGTTTTCTGCAATGTAGGAAATGATGGGATAATGTTACAGCCTATTTTAAAGCTTTCAGATCAGTTAATTTGACAATGTTCTCCAATGATTGTCAGATAAAATAACCATAAGGCAGGTATTAATCATCACCTGAAAATGAGACTTTCTTTTAAAACATGTGTTGATGTTGGGCTTCAGTTGAAACCTGCCAGACGGTCCGGAGTGTGAACGTTTTTTTCTTGTGCGCTCTTTGTTTAAACCAGAAAAACACACAAAGGGGATCTCTCCACATGGCTGGATTCTGGTTCTCTGTAATTTCCATCATTCCTGGAAGGATGCTAAAACCAACCTTGCTTTCACCACGCCCATCTCTGATCCACCACAAGAGGCAATTCCAGTTATCAGGGACCCGCCAGCACACAGTCGGTAAGTGTTGCTACTTGTTTAACTTTTGATAAACTGCCCAAAACACCAGGAAACAATGCTAAACAAAATATGCTAAAAATGCTCATTTTGTTAAGAACTCGCACACAAACAAGTTAAAACTTTGTGTGTAACCTGGTGAGTTTATGACAGAGGGCCCAAATAACTTCATTTTTTTGCTCCTAAAAAAGCTAAAACATGAATTAAAAAACTATGTTAGAAGGACTGTTTATGTAAACTACCAGATAATGACCCCTTAAAACATTCCTATGAAGCCCACATCACTGTATTTGATGTCTGTTTCTAGGTCTGATGTCAAATATTTTTTTCAAATGTAGAAAGAACAATTAACAATTAGCAGCGATTAAGCCAAAATTGTACAAATTCATATATATAAGATTCATTAAAGATTAAAAAAACATATATGCTTGATCTAGGAAGTGTCAAAGTTTAAGGTTCTTCTGGTTTATGTTCTATAAAAAATATCTCCATTAAAGCACCTTTTACTACCTTAGTATTATTTAAAAAAATAAAAATAATAGTCAACTTCATCAATTAGTAAAATGATTATCTGCAACACTCATCTATATAATGTGTTTTACTTGGTAGCTTTTAGTTACAGAGTTATTAAAACGAATAACTTTTAATAATATTCTTATCTATTTACATGCTTGTGTGTTTTATAGGTTTAAAAGATAACAGAACTATCATGCATTTTGCTTTTTGTCAACATCTTTATACTCTGGTTTTGTTTTCTTATGAGTGATTTTCTGGTTTATAAAGGCTCCATCATATTGTGGTGAATTCAGCCTTTCTCTGCATTTTCAAAGCATTCTCACCAAGTTTAACAGATCCACAAAACACAATTATGAGTCAGTTAAAAAAAAAATAATAATTTAGTCTATCCTTCATATTATCATCTAAATCTAGGGGTGCATAAGCCTACGTCATCATATTGCAGAAGAACAATGATGGATATGAAATAATAAGGAAGGAAGCATCAACAGCAGCAGCTCAGACTCTCTCTGAGGGTTAGATTCAGGGCAGAGTTCAGGACACTCTGGCTGACATTTAGAAATTCCTGGCAGGAAATTCCCTTTATCTTACAGCAGACCAACGAGCGCAGCCCAACCCAGACCATCACACCGATCATCATCATCATTATCATCAGACGCAGTCGGCTGCTCTTCATTACTGCTGGAAACAAGTGTAGACATTCGCAGACGGTTTCTCTGTGCAGCATAAAACAAGATACGGGGAGAGACACAGGCAGCCAGATAAGAAGATCCTTGAATGTGCGTTGATGTACGCACATCTTCAAGGAAGGAAACGTTCTTTCCCGTGTGCCTGGTTTGAACAAACAGCCATGAATATCTCTATGCTAATGTCTATGACTGTGTTTTGTCCTCTGGTTCAGTCTCCTATGGAGGCCCTTTGCCTTAGTTACATAACATTGTCCTCTGCAGACTCAGTAGCCTTTGTCAAGTAACTTATTATTCTTTCAGCTGACAAATGTTTTTTTTTTTTTTTTTTAAGAATTGAAGCATTAAGAGCCACACAGGCAGGTAGACATGATCAAGAAGTGCGACTTCTAACCTTTGCCATGCTCTTACCTGATGATGCGCTGAGCGGCGTACTGATGGAGGCTTCGAAACTGGGCTGACATATTGGCAAGTGCAGCGAGACAGTTGGTGTGTAGGTATTTATCCTGAGAAGTATGCACACAACACAGTTGAGAACCAGTTTACAAATGACTGACCACTTTAGCATAAAGTCTTATAAAGAAGAGCACAAACTCTGCGCTTGTAGGAGTGTTTGTTTTACCCTAGTCCGAGTCATGTTGAATTGGACCGTTCGGATAACAACAAGGATGAGCAAACTTCCAAGTGAGATCTCTGTCAGTGACCTCTCTGTGTACCAAGAAATGTTCTTCAGCACCTGAGAGGAGATGGGGGGTGGGGAGGTTGGGGGCAGTGGTGACACAGCTACTGAAAACACCAATGACTGACAGGCAACTAGAAGTAATCATTTTTTTTCTTTTCTGACAGGAGCTGGGCTGAGACCAGACAACCAAAATGTGTGTTTACTTACCACCTCATGGATGGAGCGATTGAAGGCATCGTCCTCTGTGAGAATGAGGAGAATAATAAGGGCCATATAGACATGGTGAGAATTTCTGTCTTCAACGTGGTAAAGGATCTCCAGGATGGGCATAACCTGAGAGAAACAAGGAAGAAGATGGAGAAAAGGTTCACACCTTGTCTTGCATTTTTAAGGACAACATCAACATTGTCTGACAAAAACATAAAAATACAAGATAACTGCTAAAGTCTTATATCAACCTGAGAATAACTTTCCTTATAAGGCTGTTGCAAGTTTGTTTATAAAAATTAGCTTAATTTTTATTAACTTTTTTCATGCTTCAAGCTTCCTTTCTAGAGGAATAAGAAGTACAGGCTTCACTATTGTACTCATAGAGCTAAATTATATAAGGTAGTAATATAGTAATGTAAGTGATCAGCTAAAGACATTCCTCTCCAAAAGATTTCTACATATTAGACGAAAGCCTGAAATGTACAGATTTACACAAATTGTTGACACAAGGTTAAAAAAAATCCAAACATTGATTTTATACAAAATCACACTATCAGGAATAACTGCTTTAAAAACTGCTTTAAGAAGAAGAAGAAAAAAAATGTTTGCCAGCTACCAGCTCGTCCCATCAGCTGCCTCCAGCCAAGTTAACCCAAGTGGTTGAACAAAGAGACCGAGAGAAATCTTAAAATGAACTAAGCTAATGAGGTTATAGATATTTTAATCCAAGTTCTACTTTCCATATTCCCCTCAGCCGTGGCTCAAACCTTGTTTTGGAAAGACTTTTTTAAATGCTGCAGTCCATGCTTACTGTTACATGAAATAACTGGCTCTGGTTCCAACTGACAGAAAGAGCACCATCTGTCACCGCGCACACCTTTGCCTGTTTACTGAACCGTAACATTGGTCATATATCAAACAATTTCACTTCCACAGCAGTCTGCATGGAAAACCTATAAAGGCACCCAATGGCACTAAAATTGATCTTTAACTGCGGCTGTTCCTTCCACCTTACTGAAATGACCCGATTGCAGGAGTAATAACAAAAAAAGGACTCTGTTTATAGCTTCCCCCCCACCCACCAGATTGTCCATGTCAGTCCTTGACAGGATGTACGTCCTCATGTTGGCGTTCTGGTGGAGCAGGGTGTAAAGCAGCAGAGTGGCTTGGTCGGAGCGCTGCTGCTCACACAGAGCCGTGTACAGACTGTTGAAATTGATCTGAAAAGTGTGAGGTAGCTCCACAGGCAGTGCCGACGTGTCTAGAGGAGGAAGGGTAAATATTGTTAGGATTACAACCAACTTTGATTTACTGCCATCTGGCATCAGTCATGCATTCGCTCTACTTAAGAGTTTTAAAGATAAACAGCAGAAGATGACAAACATTTTGTCTTTTCTACATTTATTACCTTGTGTGTTTCTGAAACAAGTAATAGCCTGACGGAAAGGGTTTGGCCAATCAGGCCCATCTGTCAGATTGGCCAATACCAGCAGTAACAGGAGGCTCTGATTGGATAAAGGTAAAGGATCGTTTTCCTGGTCTGTCCCAGCTCTACTACCAGCTCCACCCAGAGTGAAGACACTCCAGAGACCACCTACAGGAAAGTGCAAAGAAAAAAAGACATACATTATAGAAATATTAATGATCGGATAATAAAATGAGGCAAAATTATAAAGTTTAAAGAGGTTTTTGCTTTATTTAAATGTGTTAATGTATTAACTCACTAGTTGATATAAAAGCAGTCAGCTAGTGACTGGAACTGACCCCATTTTCAGCTTAAACAAACCCAACCAGCCTGACCACAGACACAATTTTTTCTCGGATCAGTGAGTATGCCATTACTTATAGCGCTTGTTCCCAAACTTAACTTGCGTTTTCAATATTGATTAAGGTCATCCAACTTGGTTCTAAGACAACTCCAAGCAGGATCTTGGTCTTAAGGCCGATTTATGCTTCTGGCGCATAGCCTCTGTAACCGTCAAATCGGTCTCTGTGCATGACCACGCCCCCCGCGCAGAGGTTCTTCAACTGTCGTTTCGCACCTAAAAAAAATCCTGACAATGCGTCCGACGGTCGCAAACCCGCGCAGACGTCAAATGGAAATGTGCAGACCAAAAGCAGCTGTGATTGGTCCTTGGTATGCCTTTCCGGCTGTCTGTGTGGTCGTCCTTCTTGATTCAGTGCCGGGGCAAGCCATTTTTAAAAACCGAGGAACGACAGTCCATCGAAGTTCTTGCGCTTTGGTGGGAAACTGCTGTGTGTCCTTAGAAATTCCAGACAGACAGTGCGGAAGCATACCAGCAAAACTGGTTCTCGACCAGACACAAGTGACATTTGATGTGTGCGATTGCAGAAGTTTAAACTGCCCTTTATATTGTAGTGGTCTGATCCAGTGAAAACAGCACCCAGCAGCCTCTTGGTACATTGCATTTTCCAACATCTAAATCTCTTCTCATGAGGCACTTCTGCATTACGCCTGCAAAGAAATCCCCCCTCTATAAGGCGCCCCGGCTTTTCATAAGTCAACCTTTCAACGAGGTCGTGACCTCCAATAATGCCTGCTGACATAAATGACGCTGGCACTGCAGAGCCAGTAAGTGCCAAGAGCAATGCTGGTTTGAAATGCTTACACCTACTCACCAGATTGGCTCTCTGATAAAATCCTGACGGCTCAGAGGTTTAACAACAACATCCCGACATTAACTTCCTTTACTCCTGCTCCTATGAGATATGAAACTATGCTGTGAAATGGGCCTAAAATAGCTTTTTAAGGACATGAAGTTTAAAGCACCACATATTTGTTATAGATGGGTAATAGACAATGAGCCAAATATGTTATAGGTCGTATTATTTGGTGCTGCTCTATAATGTTTTGCATCGATTCTTATTCAGTAGTTTTAGCTTAGGCTAAAACATCATTATTCATCTGGAGTCATGCTTCTTTCCTCATGACAAAATCCGGTTTGGTTTTGCCTGAGGGAAATCTGTCACTTGAGCTGCTAAACGACCTATTTTGCTCAGCGCTAAGTCATAAATTGCATTTCTTTTGGCAGACAGGGTGTATGCGGGATGTTTATAAATATCGCTTTATTTAAAAAAGTTCCCAGATCAGGGGCCAGAAAGGATGCAGTGAGAGATTCAGGTGTGAAGCTGTGGAGAGGTAGACGCCCCTTTAAATGAGGATTGGAGGCTAGAAGAAATACCTCTCTGCTTTTTGTTAAATTAATATTATTTGCAAAGGACTATGTGCACTTAAGAGTGATGTAATCCCAGTAAATGTGGGGGAGTATTTTTTTTCCTGCCTAGTGATCAGAGAAACAGACGGCAGAGTTTGTTGCAGAGCCACCATAGCGCTGTCCCTTTCAGACATCAGAAGAAGCATGAGAAACATGAACACCAACGTACACAGATGACTCTCTCTGGCTCCTGCTTGTCTGACCTAACTGAACGCACGACCAAACAGCAGGGAAGCGACAGAGTGGTACAGATCAAGCTACTGAATATCAGGGCAAGCCAAGGAGAGATGGTGCCATCTAGAGTTGGAGGCTGGAAAAGCAGAATACATCTCTAAATAACTCCCCAAATGCACGACTGGATGATAAAGTCGACATCCAAATCAGTTATTTAGTTGCTAAAATGCTTCAATCTAAAAATGATTCAAATGATGAAAGAATGAAATCTTTAACATATTTGGGGAGAAAAAAAACAATAATCATCTCTCTTCTGACCACTTCCCTCACCTCTTCTTAGTGAGGGAACAAGAAATAAGGTTCTCAAACAAGAGTTCAACCAGAGTCCTGTTCATTAGATCTCTGGCACCAGAGAGACTGGCCCAGTGGTGTCAAGGTGCCCAGTCTGGCAGCCACATTTCCTGCACTCACACGTGTGTGCCTTATTTCCCCTTTGTGGGTGCTGCTTGTTTTCCGCCTGGCTTGATGCCCTCATCTGCCTGCCCAGCATGTATACTAAATGTTACATAAGCTGTAGGGTGGCACAAAGAGCAGGGGGAGGTGAGTGAGGAAAAGCCAAGGTTGAACTCTGACTGTGCTGGCTGCATTAAGTTCAGAGTTTGGGAACATAGATGTCATCTAAGGATAAAACAACTAACCTGAATCTTGCAGCCATCATGATGATCTATGAAAGACTTTTATTGCAGATGACTGACACTATATTGAAAAATTAACTATGACAGCATAAAATGTAAACAAAGTGGAGAAAAGTCTAATTGCTTTTATTATTTTTTGAGAAATGTCTGTTAAGAGCTTCCTTTTTTTTGTTAAAACCAAAGGTCCAAATAATTTGGAGCATAACTCTAAATCATTCTGCAGCAGAGTTAATACACACATGGACAAAATATCGTCCCCACATTTGATGAAGAAAAAGAAAACCCACAATGGTCACAGAAATAACTTGAATCTGACAATAATAAATATTCTTTGATAATGAACAAATGATAGTCAGACATTGCTTTTCAATCATGCGTCAACAGAATGAATTACAAAATCGGGTGTCTACAATCTTCTAATTAGTCAGTGGGCCAACATATAGGTCTACATGTGGTCACTGTATTGTTTGGTGACATGGCGTCTACCACACTCTACATAGACCAGAGGGGGAAAATGAGTTCTCTCAGGAGGCTAAAAAGAAAATTATATGCAAGCATGTCAAAGGTAAAGGCTATAAGACCATCTCCAAGCAGCTGATGTTCATGTGACTGCAGCTGAATGTATCCTTCAGAAAAATCAAGATCCATGGGACTGTAGCCAACCTACCTGGATGGGGCAGCAGGAGGAAAATTAATGACAAATCAAAGAGATGGATAATATGAATGGTAATAAAAGAGCCTAGACAACTTTTTAAAAGAATAAAGGAAAATTTAAAGCTCAATCAGTGTCATATCACACAATCCTTCATTGTTTAAGCATAGCTGGACTTAATGTTAGACGACAAAGGAGGACACCAATATTGAAAACAAAATCATAAAACAGACCTGACAGGAATTTGCCAAACTACATGTTGACAAGTTACAAAGCTTTTAGGAGACTGTCCTATTTACAGACGAGACCAAAATAAAACTTTTTGCCCATTTGTCCAGCATTTTATTGTTATTAAACTGTCACAAGTACAAAGCAATGAAATGGACCCTCTGCATTTCACCCATACCCTTGGGAAGCAGTGGGCTGCCAGTGTGGAGCGCCCGGGGAGTGGTATGGTCTTTTTCAGGGAGCCAGAGTGTCAGTAGGGACTGACATCTGGATTCCAAGCGCAATGCCAATGCCCTGCGCAATGCCCTAGATTTACAAGCGCAATGCCCTCGTGGTTAGCTGCCCCAGCAGCGTATCCCAGCCTCAATGTTGACAGACAGAAAATGAAGCATATCAAGAAAAGAACACTGTCCCTACTGTGAAACATGGAGGAGGCTCTGTTATGTTCTGGAGCTGTTTTGCTTCATCTGATACAGGGTGTCTTGAAACGTCAAATCTCAAGACTATCAATGGTTTTCTACAGAGAAATGTGTTGCCCAGTGTCAGAAAGCTCGGCCTCAGGCTCAGGTTGTAGGTCTTCAACAGGATAATGATCCAAAGTACAAAGCTAAAAACACTCAAGAATGGCTCAGAGGAAAACACAGGACTATTCTGAATTGGACTCCTATGAGCCCTGGCCTACATCTTATTGAGCAGATTTGGTAGGAACTGAACATGCTGCCTGGGAAAGGCAGCTTTCAAACCAGAGACAACAGTGGATCAAAATACCTGCAGAGAGGAGCAGGAGTCTCAGTCAAAGTTACAGGAATCATTTGATGGCAGTGACTGCTTAAAAGGTTGTGAAATACAACTCTAAGTTAAGGGTACTATAATTTTTGCCTAGACCGGTTTCATTAGCTTTTTGGGTTTTTTTATCCTTATGTCTGACTTTCACAAAATTTATATTTATTTATTTTGGCAGATTAAAGTTATTTCTGTGACATTGGTTTTCTGTTATTAAATAAGGAGCACCAACAATTTTCCATGGGTAATTGTTGCTTTTTTGCTTTATTTTTGCATAAAGGCTAAAAGAAATATGGGAATAGTATTGTTATCAAAGCTATTAAAATGTAAGAGCCGCATATTGACCCATGGCTTTACTACACTGTAATAGACTGGAATCATAAAGGTCATACAATAATGTCTCTACACACTATTAGTACATTACAAATTCTCAGGATTTCTGCACCATTGCTAAACACATACAAAGAAAACAAGCGTGCATCTTCAATGTCACCAAAAACTGAGCACACAGGATAGAAAGCAAAGCTGCAAAATAAACCAAAGTCTCAGCTCAAGGTGTCTAAACTGAGGTCATATGTAGCGTCATTATAATGTATATGCTTTATTCATTATAAACAACCAAACCAGCCATGATGTCTGTTTCCCAAATACAAAACCCCTATCTTTAACCTACATGAATCCCTTGATTTTATTTCACATTAAGCTCCTAGATATACCATTAATACTATTCTATGCCTATTCTTTGCAGCAAGATTAATCCTCGACAGAATCCTTGAAAAATGAATACAATACTAACAAAAAACAACCTGAACATTTATTTTTAAGGGCTGGAAAACAGTAGTTAGACATTTAAACTATGCTGCACTGCAGACAGAGGAGTGGACTTCTGGTGAACAGACGCAGACACAATGTACTAATTCTTTACTTGCATAACAGTTAAGGAAACAGAACATCAGAGCTCCAGGCCAAACTTTGGCCGAGGATAAGGAAAACAAAACACACACACACACACACACAAACACACACACAGAGTGGTTTTTCAGAATATTTTTCTTATTTATCTACAACAATTGAAATGCTCCTAAGAAAAATGACAGATGTTTCTCTGGATCGCTAATTAACTAAATATCTAAAGAGGAAACTACAGTCTGCTACAGTCTGTTAAAAATGAAGTTTGTGTTGGCCTGACTGTAATTCTGTGGAAACCTTCTCATCCATTTTACTAGTATTGTACATCTTTCTGTTTTTTTGGTCCAGACTGGAATATCAGAGAGGTTTCCAGGAATGATGTTTCTACCTCTCAGCAACAAACAGCACAATCACCACTAAAATTATACAATTAGGATTAGGTGGAGACATTAAAATCCTACCACAAGATACGTCGAAATATAATTTAACTCTCTAGGTCAGAGGTCACGGATCAGCAGACCATGGTCCGGATCCGGACCCACCTGCTGGCTAAGCCGGACCGAACCTGATTTTAAACATTTATAATTTACTACTTGTTGTCCGACGACAGTTTCTAACTTAATTTCTGCCGCTTCTCCTGTTAACATGGTAAAGCTCTCCAGAGTGCCGGGACCTGGCTGCACGTGATACAAATTAGCCAATGAGCTGTCAGTCTGGGTTGCTGCTGCTGCTACTTTTAGACACAGCAGG